AATCCGTGATTCGTATTTCGTGATCAGTGCGTACTACAATTCTCACGATTACTACATACCCTGTTGGCAACTGTTGGACCGAACCATATTATTGATTTGCTGGTAAACCAATTCTTATAGTTCAGCAAGCGCTACACCCGATCATCAAGAGCCTTTACAATTGAACATATTCTGTTACACCTTGTCTGATGCGTGGTGATGATCAATGAAAACTCAACCATACGGGACAACCAATCATTATATTGATCATCAAACAATTCTTGCATCGCCCCTCCCCNCCCCCGAAAAGAAGTTGATGGGTCATAAATATGATCAGGGGCATAGAAACAGAAAGAGCATACCACTTGTTCCACGACCGGCACACCAGCACGGGCTTTTCGAGACAATTTTTGTTCGTCCAGCACATGTGTGTCACTCTCGAGTCTGCGAGCGGCCTCGGAGCCCGTTTTCAGATCACTGTCTTTCTTTGGTAATTTCGCCCCCTTCTTCAAAGGAGTTGCCTGTTTTGTCTCGTCCGGACTGTCCATAATCGACCCGGACAGGTCACTACTACTTGGAGATGAGAAAAAGGTGGTTGCCTTCGGTTTTTTCATCTCCGATCGTTTCGGTTTTGCCAGTTGCACTTTCAATTGTGTACCAGCTCGTTCTCCCACGCTTGTTTCTTCTGGTTCCTCCAAATCACGACCATCGTATTGCATCACACGTCTCACGTCTACATCTAACTGAGCCAGTAGACTGGCATCTGCCGACTCTTTACTGCGATCTAACAAACTGTCCGCTATTGTTTGTGGCAAATCCATCCGTTTTGCCGTGGCTAGTGCGGTGGACAGGGCTAGGACTCGATCTCGATTACAGGTTCGAACTGCGTGCATGACCTCCTCGGCGTCTGGCATGGAGACCCACTGACCGATACGATGTTTCGCATCCGGATTGTCAGATAACGCCTCATAGATCAAATTCTTTGCGGCATCTTTGGGCATGCCACGACCGGTCAGAATGTCCTCGAGCATTTGTTTGATTGCACCGAATTCCTGTGTGAATTGATCCAGCCGTTGTCCAGTTCCCAAATAGCCAATCAGTTGCATCCGCAATCCGTTCAAGATATCCGCTGACGTGTCTGGATCCAACAGCGTTTCCAAATGTTCCATCAGCGTACGCGGGGTGCCCAAAAGAACACTCAGATAAAAGAATGCCCAAGGTGGACTGACCACACTGTTCAACATACCCACGCGACATTCACGGGATTTGAGTAAACTGTCCAACTGATCAATCTGTGGTTGTTTTTTCTTGATTCCACCATGAATGGTGTTCATCACTCGACCCATCCCGCCCCATTCGGCAGCCATTCTTTCCAATGTGCTACGCACAAACTCATACGGTAAAACACGCTCCCGTTCGACTTGCATACGTTTTTGCACTTCCTGACCCTCATCTTTACCGATACGATCAATCAAGTCTTCTTCTTGACGCCAGTTGATCGGTGTTCGTCCGCTACGAGATGTGGACTGTTCCTGTTGTTGATCGTCTGTCTCTTCGGTGAATTGTTCCTCCTCCTCTACTTCGTCCGCCTTCTGAGCAACTGTACGTCGTTCTAAACTTTCTTGAACTGAAATGTGCAAACAAGAAAACCGAAAACAAAAACAAATTTGATTACACGGTAATCTCTTTTCCAAAACTCTGCAGCTTCTCGTTTCACTTAGTCTTTCGACTAATTAGTGAGTTGGCCGTTATTAAGATAAAATGGAAATCTTGGAGATTATACAGATGCAAAAAAACAGTGAATCTATGGACGAGCTCGAAAAATAAACTGGTGACTAATACTCATCCTGTTAAGCTAAATGTGATGAGAGCTCAAATCATGTTGCAGCTCACTCGCATTGGATGTTACGTGACTTGTCAGCCTCGTTCGATCGATCTTGCCAGTACTGACAGGCCTAATGATTACCATTGATCTGTATTGCACCAACTGGTCCTGTAAATCGTATTCACATAATTATAGTCAGCCCGTTCCAGTTCAGTGACCTATGTTTTCTTCAAAAACCCGAGGATGTATAGTCATAACATTAAGTTCCCCGAGTATTCGTCATGCTGATCCGGAGCACCTCAATAGGGAAACCAAACACGACTTATATGACCAAATTTATTGGTCAAGGGTTCCATTGCTTGTGATGTATATTGGCCCCCGTTGACTATACTCTACTCCCAATCTGACTTGGAAAATATCGTTAGATGAAAAAGAGCCTATCTGCAAGGGTTGCCATCGCAGTCTATCTAATTGTTTATCCGGATATACTTTTTCACCATCAAACTTTGGCGATGCTGTGTAGGGAGCATTCGTTGGGATTCTGATAATCTGCATCTAGTGATATACGGTTTGTCGACATGTTTGAATAAACAAGTTACGACTAAAGTGACTTCGTAGTGGGATAGTTACCTGATAGGCGTGTACGATAAATTCTCAGTTTCATCCCGTTGGAAATTAATGGATCTGGAGAATCATCTACCGATTTATAAACCTGGCCGGCAGTTCACTTGTTCGTATTTTTTAATTCTAAAATGGTCCTTCGGGAGGAGCTTCGTTCAGGTGTGTAGTAGACGTGATTGATCATAAATATACCAGACGCTGACTGTTTACTTCTCCTACAGATTTGGGTAGAAAACGATAGAGTGATCCGCTATTTTCCAGCCACTTCCGCTAGTTCATTCCAATTTCAGTCGAAGCCTTCCGTGTCACTTGAGTCCTCCCAAGAGAGAACTCACCAGAGTGCCCATACGTAGATCCCCTCCAAGGGTTGGATCTTTAGTTGCGTTAGTAGTAGTAATGGTGTTATGAGATACTACTCATTTGTGGGTAGTACGTGACATAGTTGATGACTACTTTCAACAAACAAAAATCAACAAGATCACTGAGGACAAGTTGCTGGGTCTCAAAGAAAACCTATCGATTACCCGTCATGTGGACAGGAACTGCGAGGTATGTTTCTGATTAGATTTTCTGTGTTATGTATGTCAACTCACTGTTGTTCCATCTGTTATCATCAATAAAGGAGTGTCCTCGACCATCCTGTCTTCCGGAATTATAACATTATTATTATTAATAGTAGTAGTAGTATTAGTAATATTAGTAGTAGTGTTATACCTCCAGAAGACGGTGCTGGTCGAGGATAATCGTTTATTAAGGATCACAGATGGGACATCAATAATTTGGAACACAAAAATCCAATCAGAAACATATTATCGCAGTTCCTGTCCACACGATGGGTAATGAATGTATCAATAGATGGTTATTCTTTGAGACCCAGCAAATTGCCATCGGTGATCTTGCTGATTTTTAATGGTTAAAATAAATCACAACTCACAAGTGAGTAGTATCTCACAACACTCCCCCCCCNCCCCCCCCCCGGCGAAATTGAACTCTGCATGCAGCGGGCAAAGAGTTCTTTAATCCGAGAGTTTGAACGGATCCGTAGTTGGTTGACAGTTTCTTGTGGCTTCGTGATTAATTTCTGGTGACCCGGCCAGTAGGTTGATTTCTGACAACTTTTCGGCTTACGGCTATGGTTCCAGCGCCACCTGTCGTGCTCACTTTGATACGTACGCCTGTTGGCATTTATCACCTGAGGTATGTTCATTGGAGTCTTCCGCATTCGTACTCTAACTGAACTTTGGCATCTTGGGAGTAACTTCACTTCTCCAGGGTCACCGACACGACCTTCGACATGGGGCTTATACTCTGATTCCGTCACTTTCAGAAGTGCGCTTGCTTTCCGTTTCATCGGCCTTCTTAACTTCCTCATCGCTTTGTTGTGTAGCCTGGCAAAAGTTTTCTCTTCCTTCATGTGCTCAATAGAGAAAGTTCGAGTTGCTGTGCTGTCAACTTGCGGCTCGTATTCACCAACTGTCTTCTCTGCCGAATCCGAGGCTTCTCATGACTCAGTGGACTGAAGTTCTGCCATCTAAACTGCAGCACATGTGTCAGAAAAACATGGCACTTTCTGATCCCCAACCTCGATAGGGGTATGGACTGAACAACACTCATTTTTTCGCAGGGAGCCTTGTCTATGGACAATGGTTTGGACGGAATTAGGGGTTCCCTTAGAAACGACGTACGCTGTGTTTCGGGGCAATTTTTCGGCCAGCACTCTGAATCTTCGAGCTCAAAATTCTCCTTCTTGATAGCTCTTTGTTTGTTATCCGTTCGGATGGACGCCATCTCCTTCGTTAATTGCTTGAGGGTTGCTGTAAATCCTTTTGGTTGGCATCTATGGCCTTCGGTTGGCTGTACAGGAGTGACTTTCTTCCAAGTAAACTCCCTCAGCACATCCGCCAGTTTGATTACATTCATGCTCTTCTCCACACTAATTATCCATGCCGCCTGTCGCAAATCTTCCGGCAACCTCTCTATGAAACGATCGAGCAGTAAATCCGCGTTCGCGTCACCATCCAACGTTGGGAGCGCTCGATTCAACAGGGTGCGCAGGGCCACGGCATGCGACAGGGTTCCATGCCAACTCCGAGCTGCGGCGCCCTGAAGCTCCGCAACGTTTTCTGGCGGTCGGACAGGGTGTCAAAACCCGCGATAAGAGCGTCCTTCGCGGCGGCCCACGCCACCTCCTCCGGGCCTCTTAGTGCCGCATCCAACACCGCCCGCGCTCGGAGGGCTGTCAACTTACCCTTGTCCGACCGTGTCCCCACCAGCTCCGCGACGTCCTCGAACTCATCCAGGAACGTCCGCACATCTCCATCCTTGAAGGTATCAGGTCACATAACCTTCATCCTGATCCTGGCGACGGCAGCAGTTGTTATAATCCCAGAAGACGGTGCTGGTCGAGGACACCCCGTTATTGATGGTCACAGATGGAACAACAGTAATTTGGCAAACATAACACAGAAAATCTAATCAGAAACGTGCCATCGTAATTATTTCCGACACACATAGTAATGTATATAGGAGTCAGTACTTATTCTTCCAAGTAAATCACTTGGCCATTGATGGTCTTGTCATATATTTGATCATTGAAAGTTACCTACTACTCACAAGTGAGTAGTCTCTCACAACAATAGTAGTAGCAGTGGTACAAGTTGTCGTGAGATGAAATCCATATCTTCCTTGTCAACGTTTGATAAACTATACTATTCATGTCCTAGTGACCTTAAGTCTAAACGCAACTTTGTTTAACCTATACACAACTGAATTGGATACTGCTGCAGAACACGTGAGAAGTCAAATAAAAATGGTCGTCATGAACTTTCGATGGAACAAACAGTTGGGCAGGGTTTCCGATTCCACCTTATGCTTTTTAGCCCCATAAATGAAAATTGCTTTTTTCACAATGAATGCCTATATCATTTTTGAATAGTTCACATCGAACAATACCACAAAGCGGACGACCGGTAAACCTGATGATCTGCATTCAGTAATTCCGGTGCTGATTATTAAAAAACGTATAATATCAGAACAAAAATACGAAAAGCTGGACTCATTCAACAATTACAGTGCAGTGCATAGGCACATGAACTCGTTATACAAAACAATTCCTTTCATGGGATAAAACGCACAGAATAAAAGGTATTAGATGGGAGTTAGAGCAGTGGCGGCCCCTGATGGTGGTAACGTCACCAGATTGTCAATCCGGAGGGCGTGTTCGAATCTCACTAATACCGCCTGGCTTTCCCCATTATTGTGTTGCATAGAAGCCCTTTGATTGGTCGCTTCCTCCCTTCTTAGAATTGCATCTTTGNAATAAAAGGAAGTAAAAATGATAAAGGAAAATCGTAATCCAGGAATTCGATAACGTTTCTCATGGCTATTTAGTATTTGCTTGATCATTTGTTCAAGGTGTTAGCCATTGACCCAGGGGCTCAGTGTTGTATTTTATTGTTAATAGTACAATTCTCTCCTCGTACGGTGAACATGGACCGGACCGAACAAATTTCTTTACTCACACGAGTGTGTTCGCTCTGTGGAGGTGAGATGTTCAGGAATCAGATCCAAATGTGTGCTTCTTATCCGTGAAAAGCACAATTTTCTCTTCATATATGCTATCATTTTGGAAGAATTTGGGCACAATCGAACCCATGAACAGTTTAGAAAATCGTATGGAGTTGAATCCGTTTCTCCCGAACAGTCGATCTTGGTGTCATTGTTCAATACGATCTAAATTGGGGTTTAAACTGCTCCAGTGCGTCGCACACCACTGCAATACACGTTGTTTTGTTAAAGCGAGTGTTTGGCAAATCTGAACTTATGCCACTCTCACATTTATTATCAGCCTACATTTGACACCACATAGAGTTCGCCATTCAAACGTGAAATCCATGACTGCAAACCGACCGTAAGATTTGAAACGTTCACAAGGAATGGTCACCAAAATAGTCAAGGGACTGCATTCCAAGACTTATGTGGAAAGACTGGAATCATTGAGGTTGTACTACACACAGTATCACCAAATTCTAGGGGATTTGATTTTGGTATATCAAATAATGCAGAATCCTGATCATACTTGTCGTCCAACACTCACCTAAGGGGGCACTCATTCAAATTAGTGCTCAAAACTGTCGACTAGAATGCCGACGTCATTCATTTGCCCTCAGATTGAGTACATTATTTGGAATTCTTCACCACTCCACGTTGTTTCTGCTCCCACAAGTGGTTCCTCCAAGCACAAACTGGATAAAACTTTGACAAGTCTTAAATTTGAACATCGTTAGCAGTTCACGAAACAAAGATAATTTGCGATATTCCTCGTCTTTCTGTGAACAGTAAGTAAATCGATCCATTTATGCTAAACCCTACGGGACAAGAAAAGCAACTACTTGTGTAAGTGTTCACCATAATAAAACTTTAACTTACGATACCATACGGCAGTTCTCTGGTGATCAGTGGAAGCTTTAAATACAGTAGAATAATGGGGTCTACTATGGGAATTGAAGACCTGACCAATGGAACTTGAAGTGCAAGACCACATCAGATCCCAGCCAAACAGGTACAACACCAAGCCGAGCTACAGCGAAGCTGCCTACCAGCCTAAGTGGGTACCGGTGACAGAGTTTAAACCTTCGTCCTTAAGGCCTGGGGGAGGAGGCTAGAGAAAACAAATTCAACTTCACTTGATCACTAGTGTCATCTCATTCAACGATGACGGCTTTCCCCCGTTCACTTTCATCCGATCCTTATCGACCGTATTTCCGTTGTGAAGAGACTGGATCACAAATTGCGTTCGTCTGTTACAAAACAACATCCATTGTGAACGGAAAGGATTGTATATGGCCACTGTGTGAATATGGTATGGTTGAAATCAATAAAAGGGGCCATTCACACTATGCATGTCTGGGATTGGAACCGGAGAGTAAATCGTCTATAGTAGTGACAGAAACTGTGTGCAAAAGAAAGCGAACATGGTCAACGTAAAATGAAATGGAGAAGGTAAGACCAAACGAACTATTGTGTTTGGTACTTAGTGTGCGAAAGGTCACTGTGTGGTATCAAAAAACGAAATCTATCAGCATCAGACACGTGTTCCGTTCCCTTTCGGATTCCAGCTATTATGCGTACCTTTTTGTTCAAAATGTCTTTGCACTGTCTGTTTGGTAATTTGTCGGGCGAATTTATGCAATTTGGCCGATTTCTCCATTCGAGCCGCCTCATCCTCTTCCACATGATCTTCTTCCAGGATTTGTTCACACGGTTGCTCCAAAAGGCCTTCAACTTCAATGGCCAAATTAGTCATGATCTCGCTTCGTAGACGCTCAGCGCCGGTGGCTGAGGTCGCAATTCGTAGGAGAGCCACATCTTTCAAGAAGGTGATAGAAGATAGAGTGTCTTTGGTACGTTCATCGGACTGAAGAGAGAGAAAGATAAGGGATGAGAAAGACCGTAAAGCTTCTATTATAATGAGTAGTACACGAATGACTGGACAAAATTTCCCAGAAGCACACGCCGGTCTAGTGGTCCTTGCCGCTTGCAATGATTCTTTGAGATTTGCTCGTCTCAAATCCATTCCCCGACCTGCTAATGAGGTTTGCATTGCAAAAGACTGTTGTTTGAAATCACAAACTGTTTAATTTCCTCGTAATGGATTGTTTCATGTGAATGTTGTGTTCCATGAAAACAGTGGAAATGTTTCCGTTATGGGACATTTACTGTATCATAACTCAAGTTACTTCATAAACATAAACTAATCGAAATTACAGGTTGGCGTATCCCGTTTAGGTAAGTACATAAGTACGCAGTCAATTATGCAGTACGTCTATTGGAGAGGACACATATGTAGCAGGTCCATAAAACGGTGAAAAAGTGGAAAAGGACAACACGTAGGCAGGCAGGCAGGCAGGCAAAGTTCTCAGTCCTCCCAGATAACCATACACTAGAGTCGAGTTTCACTCTCACTAGAGCTCGTCAGTAAGGAATATCGATCGTCCTGTTTGGGCTGTCAACTCCGGACCCATCGGGCATAGAAGGCGTGTGCGGTATCAACACTGTGCCAACCAGGGCATACCCGGCGCTGAATCGAATTGTCAATTCATGTTTGTTCCGGGTGTCATTTTCAGAGATAGTCATTCAGTTCATTTTGACCCGACTGTAACGAAGGGAGGGAGATACAGTTGATTATCTGTTCACTTCAATCAAAAGCCTCCCACCAAGTCAGGTCTTTCATGCAGGTTTAGGGCTAACTGGTCATAAACCTACTACAAACTTACTGGATTGGCAATTCGCATTTAACTCACAGTTACTTGTGAGTAGTGGTGTTAGGTAATTGGATGTAATGATTTAAACGGACCATCCTTCTCGGACTTCACCTTAACGCACACAATCCTTAGTTCCTCCAGTCAACCATGCACTCGGACTGATTGGATGAAGTGAGGATTTTGTGCGTGAAGGTGAAGTTCGAGAAGGATGGTCCGTTAAAATCAATATCTAAATGTCATCCACGTACAATGAAACACACTGGTTAATTTATTCTTTCCCACTGACACAATGATCTTGACCGACATTCGTTCCGCTAAAGCCATTTTCCGAAATCCCTGCTTTTTTAATCTGTCCAGGGTTTCCATGCGGTCTGAAAATTGTAGAACACTCTCGGAGGTGATTTGTCAGCGCTCATCCGCTTCAACATTACAAATACAATTTAATTGGTCCAAGCATTAAGTGTCTCAGTGTGACACAAGCTCATGCATGAATATACAGTCTATACCTCTGTACAACCGCAGGTCTGGGAAACCCCCTTGGGCCCTTAACCAGTTCAGTTTGTTCAACCATTAACCGTACATTTTCGTACGGCAGTTTTGGTTGCCGTCTTTTGTCTATCCATTGCGATGAAGGGACAGATGAAGGATTGGAAAGTTGAAATTAGAGTCGAACAAAGCAGTGAGTTAAATTGAATGGGTTTGCTTTTCTTTCTGTGTGGATTAGTGTGATGATCCTAGATTACAAGATGACGCAAACCACGAAGCGACACGTTACAGTTTTCAGACAACTGTGATTAATCAAGGTTCACGGGTGACGTCAGCAAAGGGTGTTCGTGTTACGGCTTCTGGACTACAGACCATAGGCCGATAGTACCAACCAATCGGAAACCATGCGACCCAGACAGAAACTGTACAACGTCGGAAATACTAGCACGCGATTGGCAGAGACCGGAATGACCAATGAGCTCGTTGTTTACATATTATTTAATCCCCCTGATTTCGTCAAATCAACAAACTGCTATTCTTGTGGTTTTTTCCGTGGGATATTGCGTAAAAGTACCAGTGTGATCTAGTGCTTACACCTCGTCTGCGATTGCTAATCTGTGATTCGTATTTCGTGATCGGTGCGTACTACAATTACTACAATTAGATTTGGTGAAATACAATAAGGTCCAGGGCATACATCATCTGTTTTGGTAATTCACGATTTTTGAAATACCGCAAAATGTCTACAACTCTTTCTCTGCCCTTGACCGGAAGAAATTCAGGCAAAACGATGCTATCCCATTCAGTGAATACTGACAAACAGACCGATTACCAACACGCAAACACACACACAGACACATGCACAATTTAAGCATGCGAAAGAATTGGTGAAACAATAACATCTTCCATTAATCAAATTACGGATCATAATGGTCCGTTGCAAGTTAAGCTTACCAGATAACGTTTGATCAATTGTTCCAAATTGAGTCGTTGTGAGGCCATATCCGAACTCGGGGTTCGAATGTGCTGTGTGTAAGGGGGTTGGGGGGGGGGGGCGAATGACACATGAACGAAACGAGGACTTGGTGTTCGACCAGTACTAAAATAAGTATGCAAGTCAGTAGTAAGTGTACCCTCTTCCCCCTAAACTGGAAAGCAGTAGTTTTGGGGGCTTAAGCAAGAATCATTCGTGTCAATCGTACATCCGGATAGAACACAACGGATTTATTTTCGAAACAACCAAGTGGAAGCCGATATTATGGACCCATCATATTCGCTACTGTTCAACCAGGAATACTGTGGCTGGAAGAACACGAATGCCGATTGGTAATATCTATTGAGCCAATAATCTTTCCTTGTACGTAAATATTTATTCCCTTGATTTCTTCCATTATACTAAGCGCTACTTTTGTAGTTCCCTTCTTGCGTTTCGATATCGGCCGATTCTGAAAAGTGATTACAAGCGCCATCTGCAGATATTTCGAGTGAAACAGTGGTCTTGGCGTTCCCTGCCTTAGCAGAGAACGCCAAATTCTAGTGTCCAGCTCTGTTTTTGATGAAATCTTCAATGCGAAATTCGAAAAGATATTACTAATTTTTTCGTTATTTTTTATTTTCCAGACTATCCCCATTATGATATGAAAACACTGGTTCAGAGGCGATCAATTTTCTTCCTTGATTCATCGAATCCTAAATTGGAAAGATCAAATTCCGTAAGAGATATATCGGTGATATATTTTGCATAACTGACAAAGAGAGCGACTTAATCCACATGATGTAAACGTTTAACAATACTCACAATTCCATAAGGTTCATCCCGAAGGCAGAGAAAGATAACAAACTGGCGTTGCTTGACGCAGCTCTACACAGGACAACTGATGGGCTGCTTGAAAGAAGGGTATACAGAACAGAAAAGTGGACCGGACAGTAAACCAGCTTTCGCAGTTTCGTGCAACTTAGATAAAAGAGAAACCTAATCAGTGCATTGTCTCGAGTGCACAAAAGATGTGCTCTGATTCAAGTTCACTTGATCAGATTAAAAACAGTGTAAGCTCAAACGGATACTCTGAAAAATTCAACGAGGGAAACCTACAATTAAAACTGAAGCATGAGCCCGTTCAGGAAGCTCCGAAGAGGACGCGGTTTATTAAACTGTCATTCAGAGGAAACGATCCGTCTGATCTGATTAGGAGACTCTTGACGCGTGCTATGAGAGGAACCTTCAATGCAGACAGTTTTTAATGCGTATTCACAGGCTTCCCAACGATAGGAATATCTAGCAAAGACAGTTTACTTAAGCTGGCGTCGTCTATGGTTATTTATTCCTTCAGATACATTTGTAACGCAGCCTAAATTGGCCGAACGGCGAGGCAACTGTCTCAGAAGATTGAAGAGCACTGTCCATGCTGACTTCAACACGGTGGGAAAATTGTCACAGGAAGCGCTATTCTCGCTCACCTAGCAAACTCGGGTTACCAAGTGAAGCCTAAATCAACCTTTAAATTTATCTATTGAGTACCATCTCACTCATACAAGTCATCCTAGTCACTGCGGAAGCGATCCATATTCGTTTGTTCACACCCAATCTATGTGCACAAGAGAGATTAGCTCGTGCCATTCAACTACCGTAGCCAAAGATCGATCGCACGGATGACGCATCACAGTTTGATTGCAGTGCTGTGGTGATCTAGGGGCGTGAAACACGTCGCAACCCTCTTCCCTCCCATTCCTTTCCCTGACAATCAATCACCGCGACTTTTGAATGACTGAATGTCTATCCTCGATCAACATGCTATTTCCTTATTTGATCTGTACGTGCTAGAAGATGAACCAACGAAAACAATTGTTCGACTCTGAACGTGTTCTTATTTTTTTGGCGTCTCGAACAAGTTGTGAACAGTTTAACAGTATAGCTTGGTAACTCTAACACCTCTCTCGTTGCACATTCATTCACTGTGTTTAACTTTAATTGTTCGTGTGATCTTCGACTCTCGTTTGCCATGTCCCGTGTTGTATCTTCTGCGCCGTAAATCAACTCAAATTAGTAGTTGACTGTGGGAAAAACGAAACTGTAATGCGAGCACGATGACGGTTTACTAAACCGATGTGTTCGTAAGCTAAATAACATCCAGTTGACGAGAATTCAAAATTTGAATCAAACGCAGCAATTCTATCACTGAAAAGGAAGCCTTCCAAATTATATCGGAAAATAGCAGCTTAGGATACACCAAGGTAACACGATGAGCATTTCGGAAACCAGCGGTGAGAATACGTGGTGGAAGAATTTAAAGTAGGTTTTGCAATCATATACTTTAGAAAATTTGTCAGTTGACGAGCCAAATGAATGATCCCTTGTTTACGACCAAAGTGGAAATAAATTTAAATGGACTCAATTTTACTACTGTCTTATTTCCTACTCTCCAGTCTGGATCAAATTAGACACCGAATAAATTTATTCTTACAGAATCTTTTTTTAATACCTGTGGAATCCTTTTCACACTATGGGGAAATTTCGTTATCTTAAAACTGGTCCGGTATCTGCTGGGACGGAGCTCAAAGAACCCATCGGGCGGCGCACGGATCGGAGTGTCAAGGACGCGATCTGATTGGTCCGTCACCACGTCATTCTCGCGCGCCCAATTTAACCACCTATATTTGTGTATCCCGTTATGATCAATACAATACGCTGACTGCTGTTCTCTGGTCGTGTTCTCTTTTTTCCGAATCATTGTTGGGGGCTAGGCAAGAGGTGCTCGTATCGATCGTACGTCAAGGTAGGAACATAACAGTATCATAAGTAGGGCACACATAATAGTAGTTCCACTTACTGGTAAAGGTGGCGTGACCGGGACCAACATGCTTCGCACCATAGAGTTGGGTATATATCCTGAGTGAAACCGGGGAAGTGGAGGGGAATAATTGTGCGGNGATCGAATCATGTAGCACTCATGTTCATTGCACAGAAAGTGAATGACTGAATGGCTCGCGCGCTGGCCTGCTGTTTCGTGAAAACAGGTAGGCAAACTCCCTCTTGATTCTATATCGCTTGATTCTCATGTTCCTGTGTCCATTGGATTGTGTACTACGTAATAAAAACAGAGAAATACTTTAATTATATTTTCGTTCAAACTAGGCTGTTAGTGGTGGTAGTCTCTTCTCGGACCCAGCATTATTTGGTCAAGTTAGGTTGAGCCATCCGTTAAAGCTCAGTTCCGGTTCCAGTACATTTGTATAATCATTGCTTTATACGAAGTCTGAGAAAAGTTTTCCGGATGTACAGAAAGTTTTATTTGTTACAGAAAAAGACAAGTAATACATTATCTCGAAGTATTCTCCACCAGCCGTCATGCACAGTTCCATGCACTCAAACCATTTGCTGAAACAGCTCGACCATGCTGAAGCGGGTGACCCTTCGACCAGTTCAATTATGGCTTCCACTGAAGCTTTTGGTGACTCCTATCGGATTCCACGTAAGATGCGCTGGACATTTGAGAACACAAATTAGTCACACGGAGCCAGGCCTGAATTGTGGAGTGAGTGAGCGAGCTCCTGAATCCGTTATCTAGCCAGAAAATCGATAACGACATGGAACCTGTGTGCAGGTGCGTTGTCATGGCGCAGTAAAGTATCTCGTACTCGAGTCCTTGGACGAAGGCTGGCAACAGCTTCCAGCACTCTCGGCAGACAGTGGATGGCGTACCAGGCTCCGGTGAGTGTGCTTTGCTGTACGAGCGGTACAGTAGCCACGTGACCGTTTGCTGCCATAACCAGAGCTACTATCTGCTTTATTACACTGCGCTCACGTCGGAATTTCTGAGGCGGTGCACCACCAACCGGTATCCACTGAACCGATTGCTTCGTCTTTGGGTCGAAACTGTACACCCAGGTTTCATCACCACTGATGACCTTCCAAACTGTATTGGAACGTCTACCACCAAACCTGGCATGTAAGGTGCAGCACCAATTCACCCGAAACGCTTTCTGTTTCTCACTGAGCTGATGGGGTACCCAGCGTGCCCAAACCTTTCTGAGGTCGAGCTTTTCATGTAGGGTGATGTGGATCCATCCCGATGAGATCACAGTGGCTTTCGCCAACTGTGCCACTGTCACCCGCGCATTTTTCTCCATCAACGCTTACACCGCATTGATATTGTGCGCTGTGGTGACCTCCACAGTTCTGTCACACCATAACTCATCATCCAGCGACCGCTTGTTACGTTTGAATTCCGCAAACCAGTCAAACACAATGCTTTTTGAAGGCGTGTCATTACCAAACGCAGCTCACAAACCATATTTGTAGTCCGAGTCAGCACCAGCTGATTTCCATGCTTACAGTCCGAGTATAGCAGTGACCCTAGTAGGACTTGTGAGCTGTGCTCTCGCCTGTGTTGTGATACGGTCAGTCTCCTGCTATGTTGCACCCCTGAGAAGCTGCATTTTCCAATATCTTCCGACTTTTTCACAAACCCAAACCAATCGTATGCTTAATAACGTAGTTTCTGACTATGCGATGTCGTACCCCTCAATATGTCGCAGTTCCCGATACGTACTCACTTGGTCGTTGACCGATATTCGGGACGACCATTGGCCGTCCACTCTGAAATGTCGCACTCAACCAATGGCGTTTCACCTAGTGTGACGCTTCATTACACTGTTCACTGATTGGACAATCCTTGCGAGGAAGTCACATCGACGTAAGTGATTGGAGACAGAGTCATTTGACGTCAAAATGTACAAGCAATTATCGATCAGAGAGAAGCAGAATGTGTTGGAAATGCTGAAACAGCCAGGTGAAACTCAGAGCTCCGCAGCCAAATCACTTGGAATTTCACGATTAACTGTCTACAGTGTTGTATCCCATCGAACGACTATCGGTGAATTTTTGAACGCTTGAGCATCTGAGGGAAGATGCCACCTGTAAAACAAGGAAAATTTCAAGGCAGCGAATGAGGCAACCTTAGCTTGGTTTACCGCTATAAGGAAAAAGTAAGGAGAGTTCCCAATTGTGGAGAGCATCGTACGTGAGA